CATGGTAGCCACTGTTGATGTTTTGTCTTATTGTGAAGTGCTATGTTGCTTGCATTGTTCTGTTCTGATTTGCTTTGTTCTGTTTTTATTCTTTTAAATAAAAAAATTTAAAAACCCAATGTTTTGCCCAATTATTCTCTTTACATAGTCTTTTTTCTTTTTTTAAACAGGGCCTCATTCTGTAGTTCAGGCTGGCCTTGCACTCACTATGAGCCCAGGCTGGCTTTGATCTTGTGGTGATTCCTGCCTCAGCTTCCCGAGTGCTGGGATTGCAAGTGTGCACAACCATACGCAGGTTTCTTTGTATACCTTTTTCTCTGTGATGTCTCTGGAGTCAAACTGCCTTCATAACAGACAAAAATGAGAGCATGTGGATTTTAATCACATTTTTCAAAATAAAGAAAAACAAAAGATTCCTCTCCAAATCGTTAAGGCTTCTTTGACAAAGCTTTCTTTTAAAGTTTTCACATTGCGACTTATAGTCTTCTCTTCGGGTCCCTGTATTAGTAAGCAGGAGTGGTAGAGCGGATTCAATGAAATACAAGGAAATGTCATGATTTAGACTCTCTTTAGGTGGGTAATGGTGACATCTGCCTCAGTACTACCTGGAAAGGAAGAATTTGTGAGGGAAATGTACAGTCTCAGTACCACTGGGGCCGGGTGGACGGCTGGCAGGACTCACCGCCCAGGCTGCAGCCATCATACCCACTGCCCGGCTGTCCGGTGGGGGAGTGAAGGGAGGAACACGCTTCCAAGAGAAATTTATTCTTTAAAATAAACTGAAGCGTGTGCTTGCTTCGTCGGCACATATACTAAAATAAACTGAAACTATCGATCACATCCAAGTGGTTGGAAACACACTGAACGGAGAGCCGTGGTTCAGTGACTCTTCAAGCTCCCTCAAAAGAAGACACCAAGGTTTTGAAAGACAAAATCACTAACTAAATTATGACACATCAACTGTAAAATGCATCCAAATTTTTTAAATGTTAAAATGTGTGGAGAAAGATCCGTCTTAGAATCAATGACATATGGCGTTATCTCTCTCTGCTTGTTCCCACTTCCCTGTGATGGGGACATCGGCTTCTACTTACGGTGACCTATTAGGTGCCTCAGCTGTCATTTGGGACACCTGCCCTCCTCCTAATTGGGGAAGCATTAGATCTGCCCAACTTGGCAGGAGAGTGGATCTGGACTCCAAGTTCCTGTCAGTCTGTAGTCCCCTTCCTCGCTCACTCAGTACTCAGCAAAAGCCCAGCTGAGAGAAATCCTGTTTGCAGGGCTGCCTGCGGGGTCTGTGGCCCACGTGCTCTGCTCTGCTCTGCTCTGTTGCCCCCTGTGAGGACAAGGTCAGCAGACAGCAAAGGAGAGGAAACGGGCGATCACTCGGTCAGGCGCTCCCACTGTTTCCCCGTCAGCCCACACCAGGACATTCTGAGAAACAGTCCGGGCTGTACTGAATCTGTTGTCCAGGGCACAGCTCTTCATGAGGGCCCACAGCAGACAATTGTGGGGTCTAAATACCAGAAAGCTTTTTAAAATAAACTCTTCAAATTGAAGTGCAATATATACCTTTATATATAGAGAGACAATTTGTAAAAGTACATGTTATGGCTTGCGTCTAGATGTCCCCCCACAGCTATGGGCCGTGGGTGGTGCTTTATTACGGTGCTGCTGGATCTAGCATGTGATCCTGGGATTAAGGGGGTCCACTGGTGGAAATAGCATAGTTCTGGGCGTAGCTAATGGGAAGGCCACCCTGTGCATGGGTGGCACCACCAGAAGGGTTGCAGCCCGGATGGATTAAAGGCCAAGGGAGGCTTGCAACCTGCTTGTTGCTGCTGCTGTTCACTCTGCCGTCTCCTGCCTGCCATGCCCCGTGTCTCCTCTGCGAGGCCCTTCTGCACGCCACCCTGTCTTGAAGCCAGCTGACTACGAACTGAAACTTCCACAGACTGTGACATAACTTTGAGTGCTGAATATTCTGTCTTAGCCACAAAAACGTAGGTAAGATGGTACAACGGAATGGATTTTCACAATTATAATCAGCACCCAAACGAGAAACAGAACACTACTGGCACCTCAACACCTCCTTCATGACTTTCTCCCATCACTAACTCCACCCCTTCTACAAAGGTAACCTCTATCCTAGTATCTGACATCATCTATTAGTCCTACAGGTTGAGTATCCTTAACCTAAAAGTCCAAAATCTGTTAGGCGCAGGCGCTCAACATACCATACCCCACCCGGGACTAAGGACCACGCCAGCTTCCGCAATGCGCTACGTCCCTCTTTAAATTAGCCAACCCGTGCGCACCCCGCGCTCTACTCCGTACTCTGTGGCAACTCCTGATTGGCCACAGCTGGATATAGTAGCCAGAGCCTGCATCCCATTCCCGCCCTGCTTCCTTGTGGCAGCCTGTGATTGGTCACAGCCAAATATATAAACCAGAGCCCGCGTAAATAAACTAGCAGTTAACTGTCGTCCACAAAAGCGTTTCCTGTCTTCTGTTTCGTTGGAGCTGCGCCGGTCAAAAATCTGAGAAGATTTTCGTGTATTTTGGATTAGGATGGCTCACCCAGAAGTCTATGCAAACAACCCCAAACCTGAAAACCTCTGATATCTGATGTCTGAGATGATTACCAAACAGTCTGGATTAGAGATTTTCAACCTGTATCTGTTTTTAAATTTATATAAATTGAATCACAGAATATGCATTTTTTGGTCTGGCCTCTTTTACCTATGATGTCTGTGAAATTCATCCATGTTGTTATGATAGCAAGTTAATTTTTTTTGCTGGTTTGCAATCCAGGATGTGCACACACTGGTGTGTGTGTGTGTGTGTCTGTGTGTGTCTGTCTGTGTGTCTCTGTGTGTGTGTCTGTGTGTGTGTCTGTGTGTGTCTGTGTGTGTGTCTGTGTGTCTGTCTGTGTGTGTGTCTGTGTGTCTGTGTGTGTGTCTGTGTGTGTCTGTGTGTGCGTGTGTGTGCGTGTGTGTGTCTGTGTGTGTCTGTGTGTCTGTGTGTGTGTCTGTGTGTGTCTGTGTGTGTGTGTGTGTCTGTGTGTCTGTCTGTGTGTGTCTGTGTGTGCGTGTGTGTGTCTGTGTGTGTGTCTGTCTGTGTGTGTGTCTGTGTGTGTGTGTGTCTGTGTGTCTGTCTGTGTGTGTCTGTGTGTGTGTCTGTGTGTGCGTGTGTGTGTCTGTGTGTGTGTCTGTGTGTGTGTGTCTGTGTGTGTGTGTCTGTGTGTGTCTGTGTGTGCGTGTGTGTGTCTGTGTGTGTGTCTGTGTCTGTGTGTGTGTGTCTGTGTGTGTGTGTCTGTGTCTGTCTGTGTGTGTCTGTGTCTGTCTGTGTGTGTGTCTGTGTGTGTGTCTGTGTGTGTCTGTGTGTGTGTCTGTGTGTGTGTCTGTGTGTGTGTCTGTGTCTGTGTGTGTGTCTGTGTGTGTGTGTGTGTGTGTGTGTGTGTGTGTGTGTGTGTGTGTGTTGTGCGCATTCATTCAAGTTGTTCCCAGTTTTGGGTTACTGTAAGCAAGGCTGCCATTTTAGCACACGATTGTTGGAGTCACAAGGTACAGATCAGATACTTGGTTAAGCTTCTAGGGTGACATCTGGTGACCACAGACCCTGTATTCTGGCCGCTCCACTCCCTTCTTAGTAGCCAGGAAGTTGAACGTAATACACAAACTCACATTTTCATGACCTTACATTTGAGCACAGGACAGAGGGGAGAGAGCTGGCCTCCGTGTTCTAAATTGCTCGAGTCCACTGACAAGTGAAACCAATCTGGCATCCAGGTTCAGGGCCCAAGGTTTCTGCAGGTGTGTAGCTTTTTGTTCATGTGACAAATACCTGAGATAAGCAATCTAAAAGGAGGACAGGCTTATTTTCATTTATTTCAGGGGTTTCAGTCCGTGAAACCTGTTACTTTGGGCCTGTGGTAGCACAGCACATCGTGGCAGGAGGGTGTGGTGAGCAAAGCTGTTCATAGAAGCCAGGAAACAAAAGAGAGGAGGAGCCGGGGTCCCAATAGTCCAGGGGTGCAAAGCTATGGCACACTTCCCAGAGCAGGCTGTTGTATCACTGAAAGCTCTAAAAGGTTTGCCATCACTGCAACGCCCCTTGAAGGGCACATCGCGGGTGACCTAACTTCTGCCCCCACCTCTTAAAGGCGCCATTACTTTCCAATAGTGTTGCAGGCTGGTGACTAAGCTTGGGATACATGGCCTTTGGGGGACATGCAGATCCAAGCTACAGCGGCCGGTAGAGGAGGTGGGATGTAGACCAAGCTTTCTGAGCTACATCATCCACTACTACCCGCCAAATGACTGTTCTCAGGCCAGACTCTTTTCTGGGTGAAGGATACTGTTGTGAGTTTAAGATCTAGTAAGAAAGGCAGGTGTTAAAGGAGTATATATATGATTTTTCTTTCTGGTACCAGGAATTGAACTCAGGACCTCATGCTTGAAGTCAGGCGCTGTGCCACTGAGATATATCCCTGGCCCCTAAACAAGTTAATATGAATACCTGCTCCCCACCCCGGAGGGAACTACTGTAATAATCTCCTGGGATTCGAGTTTTCTGAAACACAATATGGTTGTGTTTCTCTCCAGGTCCCGAAGGTAAGTGCCAAAACTATTGCTAAAATACTGACATTTTGCATGTTAACTTTATGCTCCTCTCATTACTTTTTACTCTCATTTTCCTGCATGCCATTCTTGATTTTTTTATCATAACATAGATTTCTGTAAGGTATCTCAAATCTTTCATCTTGAAAAAGGACAGACAACCACTCATCTGTCTGTGGGGCCCCCGCACTTACCCAGCCTACTCATAAGTTTCTACTATTATGGTTCTGTTGGGTTCACAAATATGGAAAAGTACCAATGTAAAACAGAAGGATCATTTCATTTTGGTTTTACAAAGGTGACCAAAAGAGACTACTGAAAGATTACAGGAGGAAGCAACTGTTCTTTGGAATAAAAAAATTAACGCTCTCAACAATGTTCTATTATAATTGGCTTTATTAATGTGGAACAATTAATGCCAGCTGCAAAAATGTACAATTAAGTGTGACATTATTGCAACTTAAAAGTTGAAATTAATTCTCTCCCCCTTTTTTTATAGTTGTGAGAATGGAACCCAAAGCCTTGCAGATGCTAATCAAGATCCCTGCCACTGAGTTACACACCCAGACCCTCTTTTCCTTATACTGCCATTTAATTAAGAAGAAGGAGGAGGAAGAGGAGGAGGAGCAGAAGGAGACGGAGAAGGAGAAGGAGAAGAAGAAACTTGCCACCTTACAAGCAATTTGAAATAGGTTGCTCAGAATAATACACAAAGTACAGATTGAACTGTTTGGTCCCTCCTGGCTCTTAAAGCAAGACAGTAGTGTTTATGATTTTGAAAATTTACCAAGACTTTTTCCCTACATAGGTTCCTTTGTGATGCATCTTCTTGAGCTCCAGCCATGACTGCCACAGCAGCAGTCCTGGAATTAGAACCCACACACCATTAAAAAATACCAGGTAGACCCAGAAGTACATCCAGCTGTTGGTGTTGAGGTTAGGGCTTCCGACAAGCCACTCTGGGCAGAAGGTCATCCAGCAACCATACAGCTCACACACGCACAGGCTGATTTGGATGAAATGCCTGTTGGAGAGAAAGAGCAAAGAATGAAAGGGCCAGCTCGGCACAGTTCAGCACGCTGAATCAGGACGTCTTTTCTAAGAGCAGCCTTCCCTACGGTCTTCACCACAAGGCAGTCTTACAAAAACCTCTCTGAAGTGGAACCTCAGGTTTTGTGTAATGCAAGGTAACCTAATTAATGAGAACTCATTCTTTCCTTGGAGAAGCAATATTCCCCTTTCTAGCATATTCTCTGCATTAAATAAGGACTCTGGGGGTATCCTCAGTTATTGTGAGGAAGATTTAGTGGGGTCACACGGAGCCCAGGGAGGGGAAGACCTGGGTATGTACCTCTCCATGAGCCCCAGTATAATATACAAGGACAGCTCTTCCTCAAACAGCGTTGCAAACACTTAATGAGGTAAAGGGCCAAACACTGAGCCTGCCCACAGTGAATATTCCATGATGCAAATATAAATACTTGAGATCACAGGTACAGGTAGCAAATCTGCGGTCTGGACATAGAGCCAAAACTGTGAAGCCACCAAGCATAAGTTTAATTTCTACTATTTGAAAACTGAGTGGGCAAAAAAGTGGATTAAATGGCCGTGAAGGCCCCTTTCAATATGAGATTTTACGATGAAGCTTTACATAAAGCTTCTTCAATGTAAGAAAGTAGAAAATGGAATGCAGCTATGCTTCCAGATGTTGTTTTAGTGAAGCATGCCCGGGATTGCCACACCGAGCCACCCTGTCCCGCAGAAGGACAACGGGAAGACAAATTTAGAGCCTTGGATCTGACTCAGCACATGCTTAGTTTTTCAGCTTCCTCCTCTCCAGCCTTTGCCTTCTTATGCCCTCCACAATCTGCTTCTGAAACGGTCTCTCATTTATCATGCACAAGTATTTTAGAAGTATGTAACAGAAGCTATTCTTATGTCAAGTGGGATAGCTTTTTCCTAAAGAGATTTTGGGAAAGAAGATGGAAATATTATGCTTTTTTTTCCTCTGAAATATGGCTGTTTGTTTAGGTCAAAACAATGTCCCCTAAAAGTCTCGTGGGTTCTGAGGCGGGCTTTTGAATTGGATCATGGGGCATTAATCCACCGGTGAGTTCACACCTGAACATGCTGGTAGGCGGTGGAGCCAGCCCGGTGGAAGTGGGTCACCAGCGACATGATTTGGAAGGGTGTATTTTGTTTTGTAGTTCGGGCTGGTCCTGAATGTACTACATAGTCTTGGCTGGCCTTGAACTTGCTTCGATCCTCCTGCCTCAGCCTCCTAAGTGCTGGGATTACAGGACCTTGCAGCACCATGCCCAGCCTGGAAGGAAGGGGGTGCTCTTGTCCTCCGTTCCCCTCTTTTTCACTCTGTGCTTCCTGGCTACCATGCGTTGGAGCACCTTTCCTGCATCACCCTTTTCCACCCTGCCATTCCTGCCCTGGAGACTACTGAACATGCAGGGCCAAATTCTCTGAAACCATGAGCCAAATAAACCTCTTCTCTTTAAAGTTTTGGGTACCAGGTGTGTTGTCCCTGAGAAATGAAAGGGACTAATACAGTGGCCAATCATCTTGCCTGTAGAAATGACAGTGGTGTTACAGAATCTTATTTCTCATATTTTTAAATTTCAAGTGATACAAAATTATCCTAGTGACATCATGACCCTTATCTAATATTAAACATTTTTCATTTCTATTCTCCACAAATAAGGGAGGTCATAACTTTCTCTAAACGTCAGTTAGCCTTTGGGACAGCTAATGTTCCTCCTCTTTTCAGCCTGACAGAAGAAAAGCACTTACCGATAGTATTTCTCCTTGACTATGGCATAAATGAGGAGCAATGCCAGAAGCCCATCCAGGACGACAGTCAAAAGTTCCACAGACACAATGGTTGGGTCAAGATAAAGCCACCTTGTATCAGCTTTGCCGTATTCTTTCCCTGAGGACAAAATATCTCTTACTCAAAAAATACTCTTACTTAACCAGCAAACAGGTTTTTTGAGTTAATGAAATAACTTTTTCCTCTAACGAAGGTGAACTTTGTCTCACTACGCTGCATTTTTCACAATGCCTTTGTAGAAGGCAGGGGACGCCCTCGGGCTAACATGCATTTGCCCCCAACATAAGCAGGAATAACAATAGCATGCTGTCTTTATAAAACAATACACAGTTCCTCAGTGCTTGCACATATGCACTCTCTCTACCCCTCACCTTTCCTTGTAAGCTGCACAATTCTAAATTCAACACAGTGAGATTTCACACACACACAAATCTCTAGTAACAATCCTGATAGATATATTATAAATGCTTAGAAGGTGGCTTGGTTTAAAATTTCAATTTAAAGGATAATTTAGATGTGAGTAGCTGTCATTAAGGACATGTTTATTTAAAAATAATTTGTTACTGTAAATGAAGAGAAACTAAGCCCTGATGTAGAATGACTCTGACGTAGATGAGGGGGTGTTGTAGCTTGCCCTGCGGAGGCAGCGTTTGCCTGCAGTGGCCTTAATTGTGCCCTAAGAATTTTTCCAGACCTGAGATCAGAATGTGTCTTCTAGATCGCACCATTAGTCAGCACGTCTTCTCACTGGGTGGCCAATGCTGGATCTAAGACCTCCAATGATGAGAGTGGGAAGTGGATGGCCTCAGCTCCCCTCTGCCTTCGAAGACTGCTCTCACATTACCATGAAAAGGCAAAAATGAGCCCCTTGTATCTTACTGATCTGAGCATTGAAAAACTCTGAGCATTGAAAGCCTCATAATGGCCAGAGGATTGATCCCTCAGGAGCACGAAAAAGTTTCTCATGAAAGGCTGTCCTGACAGAAAGGACAATAAACAAGGCTCGCTATTTAATGAGATAACACACCAGGCACAGGCTGCAGGGAGGTCTTGCCGGAGGCCACCAGAGCCATCAGCCTGTCCTTAGCTGACTGTCTACCATGCTCCGAAGTGACTGCACTAACAGGAAAACAACAGAATACTGAAACATTTCCTCCATAAACCTAAACCTTCACACAACCGGTAAACTGTGCCAGCTAGAGCACCCAAATCATTACTTATATCAAATGTCAGTGTTTTAGGAAACAGAATAATTGGAGTTTAGATGTTAAGAAAAAAACCTTTCCATTCTTTTTTTTTTTTTTTAAATATTGGGGACTGAACTCGGGGTACTCTACCACTAAGCTGCATCCCCGTTTTTTTATTCCTTTTAATTTTGAGACAGAATCTTGCTATGTTGCCCAAGGCTGGCCTGGAGCTGGCTATCCTTGCCTCAGCCTCCAGGGTAGCCAGGGTGACATGAATGTGTGCCACCACGTCCGGCTCATTCATTCATTCTTTAATTCAACAAATCTTTTTGAGCATGTGGGAGGCTCTCCGCCAGGCCTGGAGAATGCAGTAGCAAGCATGTCATGAGGCCAGCTGGGTAGCTCACTGTAGGGAGGCGAGATCTGTACTAAACGGAGAACATGGGGACACGGAGGAGGAGGCTCTCAAGCCCGAAGAGGGAGATGGAGGGAGGTTCTCTGGAGGGGTGTCTTGGGTAAGGGAGGGGAGGGATCCCACGAGGATCACAGAGATGGCTGCACATGTAACAGCTGTCACTGGACAGGTGAAAGACATGGTGGTTGATCAGTCACACACACAGGCTGAGGAGGGGGCACCGTGCTGCACAGGGCCATGCAGGGGTGCAGCAGGGCCAAGGTGGGCTGCCAGGAACAGGAGGAGGGGCTGCACCCTGGGTGCTGTGAGAGGCTGTGCTGGCCTGTTTGAATAAGCGCACAGGTTGGCAGGGACCTGGAGGCCACTCAGTGAGGACAAGTAGGCACTGAAGAATCAGGAGGGGACTCCTAGCTTGGTGATGGCAACCCTTTCAGAGCTTTCAATGATACAAACAGCCCACTGTGGCACATGTGCCAGAGGTTTGCCATCACTCCTCTGTATTTTCCAGACGTCAAGGCACACAGGAGACTGAAGCTTGACGTCAGGTCTTATATCACAAATCAGGACTCTGGTTAGAGAGCAATCTGGGTGTCCCGAGAAGGTGCTTGTGCAAAGGTCTGGCACTGACAGAATAGTGCATCTGGGGCTACAGCTATGCTGCCAGGGCTGAAAACAGCATGTGGCACGGCGAGAAAGGCAGGAAGAGTGAAGGCCCTGCCCTGCACAGTGCTGCCTGCGAAGCCTCTGACATCTCCTCTGCTGCTGAACTCTGACCCCCTCCCTGGCTAGTTACACAATTTGTTTACAGCTAAAGGACAAATAAGAGCATTAGAAAGTGTGATGGTGTGAGTGTTTCCATTTATATTAGGATTGGTAACTGGGGATAAGCTGAGGTTTAGTAGGAAAACATAAAACTGATGGCCGGAGGTTTCCACCACTAACCCACTGCTGTGAGGGTCACCCTGCTTACAGCCCGGCTGCAGCCGGGAGCCAGGGACAGCACACAGGGCCACGGCTAGGCTGTCCTGGCCCACACTCTCTGATCAGAACCTATTTGAGGAATTTGGTAATTTTGTCCATTTTGGGGTCTGGGAAGTACTTACTTACTTTTTCTATTGGGGTTTTGCTTTTATGTTAAAAAAAAAAAAAAAAAGGCATCTTCATTAAAGGAGTTTTCACTTCTCTTAGGTGAAGATGATCCAAAAAGAACATATTAGACATCAACATTCACAGAATTGGGCTAAATCTGGGCTATTCATTTTCTTTAATGCTAGGCAAGGCAGCCAGGGTGAAAGGTAGCAGCTTCTTCTGTGACAGTGGCCCAGAGGGACACTCATCAGGGAGGGATGCTCACTCAGGCTGGGTCCTTCAGGCTCTGGGATTCAGCAGCCATTCGCTGGCAACGTTTAACCTAAACACTGACTAGCACAGGTGCACTGAGCTTAGCCCAGGAACTGAAGCAGCAGTTCTTCTCCCAAGAAGACTCAGAGTCCCCAAATGTTTTCAGAAGCACAGCTGTAGTTTGTACACATTTTGAAGTTACACACCGAGCACATTCCTTCAGGGCCACCTATCTCTACAACCTAAGGCACACAGTATTCCCCAGTGCATGGCCTATACCCAATGATACCAGAACTCCTTGGGCTGAAACTTGATTTAGATTCTTATATGACTAAGGCCCCTCCGACCACCCAAAAACAATTAGGAAAATAGTTCTGAGCTATCAACACTCCAAAGTAACCTCTAAGAGAAAGAGCGACAAGCACAGTCACCATAGGTCCCTGGCCCCACGGGCAACTTCTGCGTGCACAAACAAGGTATCGGTGCAGGTGTTTTTGTGCAGCTTCCTGTCTTCTTGCTTGAAGCTGTAACTTTTTATCTACTTAACATCACATTCTGCCTATCCTTCTGCATGGCTGCATATGTGTCTTGAATGAATTCTTTCATCCAGGGCTCAAAGAACTGAGGACCAAGAAGTGAGAAGCTGGCTCTCACTGTGTCAAGACCCAGCTTCCTGGTGACATACGCATGGGCCCGGGGTGTAATCCCCACTACCATGGGGTCGGTGGCAGTGGTGTGGTGATGTAGAATTACATCCCAGAATCTGAATGCAGTTATCCCGAGCAAGGCAGCTTTACAAAAACAGCAAAGATGCTGCTTGCCAGGTGGCTCATTTCTTGTCAGTATTGACACTGGCATGGTGGGAAGTCGATATTAACTGATTGGCTGATTTTTCTCAGGCAGGAAGAAGCAGGGAAAGTAGGTAATAACCACAGGGCAGGAGGAGTTTGGGGATTTACAAGAATATAAATATTGATGTACAACAAAAAGAAAGTTGATACTAAAAGTATGAAAAAAAATCCACCCAATTTAAATGCCACAAACTCTTTGAACTGCACTCACATAAATGATTTTAATACACAGTTTTACTGAGGTGTAATTCTGGGCTTTAAGACACCCACAGGTCTGAACCACCACAGTTGAATTTAGATCACTGCATTACCCCGCTCCAAAGAAACTCTGACCCATTCAAGGTTCCTCCCCTCACCCCCAGCCGTAGGCAATAACTAATCTTTTATCTGTGCCCATCGAATTATTTGATTCTGGACATTTCTTAGACATAGAATCATACAGTATATGATACAGGTATTCATTTAATTGACAGTCACATTTAGAATTAATCTCCAACATTTGAAATACAAATGTTTTAAATTACTTACATAAAGATGCAATCAAGCCATCAGAATTGGCAACGTTTCCTACTAAGGACAAGTAGACAAAAGGGCCTTCCTAGAGAGAAGAGAATAAAGACATGCTCTAGTTTAGAGTCACAACCTCAGGATGGTACCAGGGACCGCCCTGTAGACACAGCACCTGATACAGGAGCATCAGCCAGGTCCCACATGCTGGGCAGCGGCCAGGGAGTCAACACCAACACAGACCTGCAGGCGCAATGTCGGAGTCTGGCAACCTGGAACTCAGCAAGGGCTATGTCCCAGGCTAAGTTACAGTGAATGTCATTTTTCAGTGATTGGCATCATAAAGTCAGAACCATCTTCACACATGGAAAAAAAAGTGAAACTCTCACATTAGTGAACAGCTTAACTGTTTCAGTAAATAGAACAAGATCTAGATAATTCCAGAGACCTTAGATCTTTCGAAGAATCTCATAGCAGTTCATTTTGTTTATCTCAGGACAGAAAATAAACCAAAAAATCCCTCTAAAACCTAAATTCTCTATGTAACAAAAATGGCAAATTTCTATACCACAGTTGAGGGGTTCCCTGCACCCACATAAGGGTGAGTTTATGAAAATTTCAAGTGCATGCGTACTGGTTTTCTCTTGATGTTAGATAATGAAGTACTTGTTACACTTTGTAATTCCCCATCACAGAAGTGCTTCTTTGACTAACTTTTTTTTTCTTTGTCTTTTTGAGATAGAGTTTCACTGTGCAATTCAGGCTGGCCTTAAACTCACTTTGTAGCCTACGCTGGCCTCCAACTCACAGCAATCCTGCCTCAGCCACCCGAGTGCTGGCACTGCAGGCGTGAGCCACCACACTCAGCTCTGCCTAATTTTTATAAAGCAGAAAAACTCAAATTTCCTGGGGCATCTGCTCCTTTGAATAAATTTGCTTGCTAGTCAATACAATAGTTTTTTCTCATTTCTTTTCACCAAAGCGACTGCTTACCTGGCCGTGAAACTCTCTCAGCTTCCCAGAGCCGGCACTTTAACCAGCTCTGGTGATTATTCCTAACGCAAAATATGCTGTTATTTCTTGAGGCTGCTCAACCTGAAAAGCCATTATTTAATTGACATACAGTACTTCTCTCCTTCCCAGTCCTTCCGGGTTTTGACAAGTATGCCATTCTCCTATCAGTCACCCAGATGTGTAACTTACTAATAAACTGAAACCCTGGCTTGCTCATTCCGCAGTGTGGCGCGGTATCCAGATTTCCAGCTGCGTGAGGAGAGCATGGGAGCCCCAGCTCTCACCTGCTGTCCACCTCGCAGGCACAGACACTGGGGAGACGGACTGTGCTCCCACGCTTGTTCTGTAAACATGCTTGTTTTCTCCAAATGGATCCTAAAGAGCACTTACAATGCCGTGATTACCTAAGTATTATTCACTGCAGTGTCACCTTCTTTCTCTACAAATCAGTATCTTGACTCCTGTATCACTTAAGGAAAATGTGAGACATGGAATATCCTTTCTTTATGTCTCAAAGTCATGCTATAGTATAATCTGCTTCACATCTGAGCCATGACTTACCTATAAAATATTTTGCTTATTCTACAGCTTTTAATTGCCTTTTTTTCTGATTGAAAGAAATATGATTTTTCCCCCACCTCATAATTATCATCTAGCTTCCAACCATTCTAATTTCTGTGTGGTTTTTTTTTTGAGCAATTCAGGCTTCTCCTGCCTCAGCCTCCTGCGTGCTTCCCAGCACGACAGGCATACACCACCATGCCCAGCTCGAACAGCTTGAAGCTTGTTTATTCAGTGTTGACACATTTTTTTTTTCTGGTCCTGGAGACTGAAACCAGGGACTTTACAGCAAGCCACTTCCTTTGCTTCTTTTTTGAGACATGGTCTCTAAGTGACTAACTTGGGCTGGGCTTGAATTTGTGACGCTCCCACATCGGCCTCCCGGAGTGCTGACCAGTGCACCACCATGCTCAGCCTTTTTTCCTGACACTCTTTAAAAGTCACCTAAGTGATAAATGTGCCTTATTCAAGTATATGATAAAAATTACATCCTTTGAAGGAGACTTGTATAAAAATACTGGTACTTATGAAATCAATTCTCCCCAGTCCACTTACTTCACAACAGTTAATTTTTAAATGTTTTAGTGAGAAACCCCATCACTGCCTTGTTATGACTTGGGAACTTTCTAGACAGAGGAAAGGCGATGGGGCAGGACCGAATTCGAGTCTCTCTGGCCTCACATTGTCCATCTATAGGATGAAAGACTTTCTAAAATTAGATTGTAGAACTCATCCAAAAACTAGATGCACCTTCCCCAGTACCTCTCTAATTGAACTCATGAACAAAATATTCTGCCACTAGAGTGAAGACCTTTCCTCAGGAGCAACTCTGGATAGGAGCAAGAAGTGGACCTGGAAACTAACTACAGGCAGGGATCTGAGTGTCAGACCAATCTGTTCCCTTTCGGCGGAGTGCAGTGGCAGACTCAGGAGACCGAGGCAGGAGGACTGTAAGTTTAAGGCAGCCTAAGTCACTCAGCAAGAACTTGTCTCAAAATGAAAAATACAAAGGGCTGGAACACAGCTCAGTGGAAGTGCTCACCCGGGTTTGAGCACCAACTCTGAAAAAGATTTCTTTTGTGAAATTTGTTCCATTTTGACCCACCTCTTAAACTTCTACTCATTTGTAAAATTTCAGTTTAAATGCCCCTTCTTCCAAAAATTCTTCTCTTAATGTCCTAGTGAGGATTAATTTCTCACTCTCCTCTAACTTTCGTTACTAAATTTATGTTCCCATCAGCTTGTTATGGATTATCTGCTTCCATTGAATCATCTACCTTTGGGGCTGGAATAGTCATCTCCATCTTAGAATCCTCAGGAACCTAGGAAGATGTTTTGTGTTTAGTGTTTGCTAACCTTTAATTAACAAAAACTTTGCATAATGAATTACTTAAAATGAAGACTGCCCTGTAGAGGCTTTTAGAATGTACTGTATAGTTCTTACTATATTAATATCCTGTTTTAGTTACTTGTTTCTTGTTGCTGAGATAAAATACACAAAATCTAGAGTTAAAGGAGGGAAAAGGTTTATTGACCTAGCCAGACCTGTCTCTAAATTAAAATATTATAGACCAGGCGTGGTGGTGCACACATATAATCTCAGCACTCAGGAGGCTGAGGCAGAAGGACTGCTGCAAGTTCAAGGCCAGCCTGGGCTACAAAGTGAGTTTAAGGTCAGACTGAACCGTGTAGTGAAACTCTGCCTGAAAAAACCCCCCAAAATAAATAAATAAATTATAAAGAACCAAGAATGTAGAGCAGTACCACAAAGAATGGGGACAGAGAGATAAAAAAATAAGATAGCTTTAAAAAGAAGCAGAGGCTGGGGATTTAGCTCAGCGGCACAGGTGCCTGCTTGGCAAATGCAAGATCGTGAGTTCGATCCCTGGCACTCCCCCCACCCCCGAAGAAACAGAGCAGAGATTTCACCAAAGAGAATATAGCGATGGTGAATAAACACATGAAAAAAATGTTTGACACTAGGAAAATACAAATAAAGACCATATCTCCACACAGCTATCAGAATGGCTCATATAAAAAACGGCTACCCCAAATGCTAGTGAGGATGTGATCATGCAGTCCAGCAACTTCATACTTGGGTATTGACGCCAAAGATATTAAGCCTTAGGCTTACACAAAAATATGGACACAGCTGTTCAAAGCAGCTTTATTTGTGCAAGCTAAAACCTGAATGTCCTTCTGCGGTGAATGGTTACACAAAGTACATTCAAATCATTGGCTACTCACAATAAGAGGAAACCAATGAGTGATACTCTCAGTGATTTAGATAGCTCTCCAGGAAACGATGCTGAGTAAAAAGATTAATATATTATGATTCCACTGAATGTAACTCTTTTTGTTGTTTTGTGGTGCTGGGAATCAAAGCCGGGCCTTCTGTGTAGCAGGCAGACACTTTACCACTGAGCCACATCCCTACTTACTATAACATTTTTTGAAAAGATAGATTTGATTTGATTTTGGGTTTTTTGAGATAGGGTCTAGGCTGGCCTTGAATTTGTGGCCTCAGTCTCCTGGGTGCTGGATTTATTGGTGTGTACCACCCTCCCTGGCTCAAAATGACACATTTTAGAGAAAATATTAATGGTTGCTAGGAGTTAGGGGCTCTCTCTCTCTCTCTCTCTGTGTATAGTTTAAAAAGAAACACTAGGATTCTCGTGGTGTTGGAACTGCTCTGTGTCCTGACTAATGCAATGGATACATAGGCCTATCCAACTGATAAAATCATACACAATTTAACACGCACACGTGTGTTTGTGTGAGTACAAGTCTGAATCAGGTGGCTGTATTAATGTCCATAACCTGGTTGGGACATTATACTATTTTGCAAAATGATACAGGTGGGGAACCTAGGAAAAGTGCCCACAGCAGCTGCTACCAATTTATGCTCTCACCAGCCGTGTCCCACAGTTCCAGCTTCTCTGCATCCTTCCCCAGTGCTTCTGTTTTCTTTATTGTTATTGTTTTCAATAGTCAGCCTACTAGATTGAAAGTGTTATCTTATGATTTTAATCTGCAGCTCCCTAATAGGATATTGAGAATCTTTTCATGTGTTTATTGACTCTCTGTGTGTCTTTGGTGAAATGCCTATTCAAATTCTTTGTCCATCTTTGAGTTGTTCATTTGTCTAGCCAAGAATGTAAAGGCTTTAAAATGGAGCTACGAGTCCATTTTCCCTTGCTCCGTGGGAGGCTGGGTACTATACACAGGAGAGCTTTACTGAGCTCACAGCTCCAGAAGGGCATCTGCTTGGCTCTGGTGAGGGCCTTCTGGCAACACTACAACATGGCAGATGGCAGGAGCCTGTGGGAGAGGGAGAGATCACACAGCCAAATGGGAAGCAAGCAGGATTCAGGAGCCAGGCTTGCTCTCCCAGGAACTAAATCACTCCTCAAGATCAGCATTCAGTGACTTCCTAGGTGGCATCCCTGACCCAATTACCGTGCAGTAGACTACACTTTGTTAAGGTTCTACCAGCTTTGAGGGCCATATCCTACC